TCAACACTTTAATGCAATATAAAATGTTTTCATCCAATTTTGAACATGAATTCCTGGAATCGAATTCCATATGACATAGTTTTATGTTGATTTCTTGTATTTCAAATATGCATTTTTATTTCATAGCTCAATTTTTCTAGCTACGCCACGAAAGCATGCTAAAGGATGCTGGGCAAAAAAGTGGACTGAGAAAAGAAGCCGATATTCCAGCGTTCCAAATTGGCTTTACGCCCGAACAATAGACGGCATTTTTACTTCAGCGTCAGTTGTCGAAATTTACAAGTAAAAAGCAGAAAAGACATTCAGATGGTGTTCCTAGAACTGGAACTTGATCAAATAAAGAAGCAAAAAACTTGGTGGAGGATGAGAAAGATGTTGTTGCTAAAAATTACGTTATGCTTACCAAAGACATGTATGATATAGTTAAACCAATGCTTTGCGGTGAAATAAAAGGCTTCCTTCTACAGGTAAGAGTCTATGAAGACTTAACACTGAACTCATCTCTGCCTCAACGGTGATAGAAGGGATAACCAAGGATCGGTGTGAAGCAGTCCAATATTGCAGGGTCTATGCAAATGACGTACGGTGAAAGCGGTGGAGGGAAACCAGGCCATGGAAAAGAGTCTTTGAAGAAAACGATCTGCTGCTCAGCGAAGGCATGTTGGAATATTTAGAGGGCTATTTCTGTTGGAAGAAACGGAGAAAAACCAAAAAACGAGTGAAACTAGCAGGCGACAAGTTGCCTTCAAACCTCAAATTCAAGTACTTTGGTTCCATCCTTCAAGACTGGCAGAATTTGACAGTGAATTAAGAAATCGATCGAAGAAAGCGTGGCTCGGATGGAGAGCGGTGTTCTGTGTTAGAAGAAAAAGCCCATCAAACCACCGAACGACCGCAAGGCCAGTTTTCTGTACGGAGCAGAATGATTAGCTACCCTGAAGGGGTATGAGCCACAAATAGAAATAATAGAAAGAAAAATGCTTCAATTTATGGGTTATGTGAAGAGTATAAACCAAATTTTAAATAGCATCATGAGAGGCTCTTCAAGTGTAGCATAAATTTCACAAAAGCGGATCGAATGCAGAATCCGTTGATCCGGTAAGTGAGTAGAAGATCCGCCGAGTAAGTTGAAAATGTGGTCTATGCACTGATACTGCCATGAAAGAGCAGATAGGAAAAATGAAGAAAAAAGTGACGGAATGTTTTTAAGAACGATATGGAACTACGAGGAGTGACCAATGATTTCGCCAAAGGCTACAAAATCTGCAGAAATGTGGCTCCAACAGCGGACCCATGTCAAGAAAAAACATCCCAGAACATGGAAGAAGAAACACCTAGTTTTCTTCTCAAATTTTGAATTAACTAAGCTAAGCAAAATTTGAATTCTTTCATCATTTGAGTTTCGGATTAATTTGTTTTGGTCAATGTTTTGATGTACGAAGGGAATGTGCGTCAGTCGAGACATGATTCGGCGTTCTAGTGTGCTGTGTGTAATGTAGAAGGCGCTTTTGTTAACGTGCCATTGAATCGTAAATCCCGCAATGTTAAGCTATGTCGACCTCTAATTAGAATGCTAGTTCTTTACTCTAAACTACCCTTTAAATCAGTTACAGTTGACAAGGATATGACAACTGGACACCTGAAGAATTTGAGGCATTTGAAAACTCAGCTCTAAAGTATCACCTCCTTTTTCGTGAAATTGAAATCCAAAGACTTCCCTCACATTACTTGTCACTCTTCATCACATATTCATACGAAAACCGCAGTCAAAAATGCTGGCAAAACAAATCATTTCAGGGCCTGTTGCTCAAATTTGTTGCAACAAAACATTTGCGATTAAACTGCCTTACTACTCGAGTAACCAGGGCGTTTAAGGTGGCACAGAACTTACAACGGAGAGCCGCTATTTTTTATAACTATGAAAATATTCCAATCTGAATCTTCGTCACTTTAGCTAATCATTGCTTGAGTCAAGCTTTAAGGTTAGCTGTGAATGGCAGTTATTAATGCTGATACTCTCCATTAGGCTAGTCCTGCCTCCACTTCATGAAGAGCAGCAGAGATGGCCATTTAACACTTTCAAATCTGGCCCTGCCCAGACATGTTTCCAAGGGTTTTAAAAAGATGCTTTGACGACATTTTTGCCATCTGCCACAGTAGTGATAAAAACAGTGTAATAAACCTTCTCAGTGGTCTTTTTCCTTAAAATATTGAGCGAATGGTTGAGAAAAATAATTCTAGTCTACCTTCTCTTGATGCTTTAATACTTACGCTGGTAATTGATATAAAAGTAAAGTTTATCAAATGCTTGCCAGCACTGATCACATGTCTTAAAGTTATTTTGACTCATATCTAACTTTAACTCATACAGTCGTTTAAATAATGAAAGATTTGTAGTTACGACTTTAATAAGTGGAGTTCTGAATTTCTGCATTGAAAAATTTCTCAACACACTAAATATAACTCATTAAAGTAAGCTGATGTAATACCAGTTATCTCGTAAATTTTTTGCTGATATTATAAAACGTAGAATAAGGCACTTCAAATTTACTTGTAATAGCAATAGTATAAAGTTGATGTTTAAACAATAAAATTTGTTTCCTTCTCCCCTATCGGAAAAACTTTGCGGAAAAGTTACTAAGTATGCTAAACATTACATAAATTCTTGAAGTTATATATAAAGGCTCTATTAGACTTAATACCTCATCAAAAGAACAAACAGCGAAGATGCGAATGATCTCGGATAAACTGAAACGGCGCAGGGCAGTGGAACAGATGGAAAGAAAACAAAACCTCGCTTCCATACAAGTCGACTAA